TGCTTTCTCTTTTTGATGCCTGGTGGAACGTGATTCCGAGTGTTCCGTCATCGCTTGTGAATTGATAATACACTTCGTAGACATGCGTGTTAATTATCTGCCACTCCCATGGGTACTATGGGGAAATGGCAGATAATGCGATCGGTCTGTCACTTTTTTTAATATTTCATTCCGTCTGTCCCGCAGCATTCATAGTGACCGGACAACACGACTCGCTGCGCATGCGCAGCTTTCCGCCTGGGTTGGGGAGCCGGTCTACGACTAAAACATCCACTTCCCTTCAGGCCCTCGCGGATGATGGATCCATAATAGACAACAGGAGAGAGTGGCTCCTATCGGTCGCGCAGACAGGGTTGCTGGGCGTACGCATGAAATGTCATATCTGGCATCCTGCACTTGATACTGTCCTCCCATCTCCATGCGACGCGGACGCGCAAACCATCGAGACATGTCTTGTTGTCCGGGTCTTTTCATATAAGCCTATGACGTACCAATGACAACTATCATATATTTCTCGCTTGGTTGGTTAGGATGGGGTGAAGAAGATAATTGTAGTGATATAGAGGGGCCAGTGGAATGGCAGATCTGTACCTGGGCTGGTACAGCCCAGGTACAGATCTGCCATTCAGATACAGCCCAATGTGTATATATTTCATATATACACATTGCGCGTCAATTGAAGTGGATATTTTGCATTTACGGTTGTATTTTAAGAATTCTGCTATTACCTAGAAGAAATGTTCCTGATTTACTATTCTGTAGAATGGTAAATAATAAGTAGAAATGAATTGTCTGTAATTTATTTTGCAACAAAAATGCAAGTTACCTTTAAACGAGAACGAAATATCCATGAATATATAAAATGAAATATACAAAAGTCCTGACCCATACGTCTACGTATCATTGAAGAATTATAAGACAATATCCGTATTGTTTGTGTGGCAATTGCAAAAGAGACCACACGTGTGCGTGAGAGTTTTCCCCCCGCATTTATATTTGCGAAACCAGTGAGGGCTTCCAGTTTGAAAATTTTCTTCCGTGAAAGACATTTCTATGGTCAGGGGGACTTTTGCACCACCCTGTATGAAAGGCTGAAGGATAATAGATACTATAGATACTAGGCAGACATCTTGAGAGAGTTCTTTAATGTTTTTTCTCAACAATTTAAACAAGATCTCCAACATCCAACTGAAGGGGACACTACCGCATCCTCTTGGTTGCAATAGGTTGAAGGATCCAGAACTTTAACTTGCGATATACCGGATGGCCCAAAAAAAAAAGTTCCAAAATTTACACGCCTGCAGACTGTCTACCATATGAGTTATCGACAGGAAATTTGCAGACTTTTACATGCAATGTTTACAGGCAATGTAACAAAAATTTCATTGAAATTGGTTATAAACTACGCGAGTAACAATTTTTCTCCCCCGCGACGTCAAAAGAGCGAGTGTGCAAAGGAACACGCCCGAACTCAACGAAAGAACTGTTTGATGGGTCCACCATGGATGTGTCCTCGGATCACGGGGGGAGGCAGCACGGCGGCAAGCGCACCCACACACTTGCTCATTTGACGACTTGTACGGAAGAAGCTCTTGTGTTTAGAGCAAGAATTTCATTGAAATTACCCTAAAGCCACCTACCTGTATTGGGTATGACACGCTGAAAATTTCAAGACGATGCTTGGCATGGTGTACCGTCTGCAGCCGCACGAAGTTCGAGCGTTTTTTTTGGGGCCACCCGGTATTTACTCGTATATACAGCTCCGATGTGCGCCGTTGCAGCACCGGGTGACCGCAATGCGATCCCAATGATGGCAATTTCTCGGGCTTCTTTCCCATAACTTTCCTTAATTTCATCCTAGGACTCGGCTCGTCCAGTTCGTCGGGTGTTACTGGCCTGGTGTGCCTCGAGGCCGCGGCCGGAAGGTGGCTGAAGCAATCTGGGCATCTGTCAGTGCATTCACAGTTAACCGAATGCATGGTAGGGCCTTTCCCTAGGCCATACTTTTTCTTTTATAGGCTCGTGTCACACCGAGCCTTCCTCCCCCTTTTCCCTTTTCCCTCGTAGGGTTGTGTCACACCTGAGCCTCCTTCCCCCCCCCCCCCCTTTTCCCTTTTTTCCTCATT